GCGCCGTGGCCTCGCCGGACCTGCCCACTGCACCCCCAGGGCACACGCTGAAGCCTGGTAGTTTGACCCCGGGGACGGGGGCGGAGGGCAGAGGCCTGGCACCCAGGCAGGAGATGGGAGACAGACTTCCTTCCATGAAGTCAGAGCCCTTTGACGGGGTAGAGTACCCCAGATTTCCGGGAGAAGAGGAGCCAGGTTTCTCAGCATCCGCCTCCTCGCAGGACTCCTTCTCCCCTCGCTCCCACAGGTGATGCAGGAGGCGGCTCAGTGCACAGGCAGCCTCCTGCGTGGCAGGATGAAGCTGTGAGTCCTGACATCAGGACCCCGGCCTGGGCAGAGACCGGTGGGCACGGGGCAGCCAGCAGGCGGGTGCAGGCTGTGGCAGACAGGCATGGCAGGGTGCTGTCAGCAGCTCACCCCAACTCTGGGCCAGGCGTTGTGGATGTCTCCTGGCATGTGGCCGAGATTAGCTTTTCCCTTTAGGAAGGAGAAAATGAGGAGAGGTGAGCATGGAGGCCACACAGGCGAGGGAGATCAGGAGTGCACACCGGGAGAGGAGGCCAGAGTTGTCTGCAAGAGGCAGGTGGGAAGGTCCCTGTGGGCAGGTAGACTGAGCACAACCTTTGACACCTTGTGTGCTCTGGATCCAGTGGTGGTAGTTGGGGGCTGCTGCTTTGGCTTCTGACACTCATTTCCCAACTGCCTCTGGGTAAGGTGTTCCTGGAAGAATCCTGGAGATTGAGGGGTGCTGCTGCCTGGCCCCTTCATAAATACGTTCAGAGTCCTGCTCTTCCCAAACCACCCATCTCCCAGGATGTGTTTTTAGCACCTAAAATGGCCCCACTGATGTCAGCAGTTTTAGGAGAGACGTGGGCAGGAGGCACAGGGGATGTGGATGTGGGTGGTGTATGCTGGTCTGGGGCAAGTTTCTAATTGGTAGGAATGAAACCTGAACTGACCCTGAGCATTTTCCTAAGGCCCCCCTAGTTGTTGGATGTGGGGGTGAACCAGCAGGCTGCCCAGTGGAGCTGGACCTTCATCAGAAAGATGGAGTTTTCTCACGTCAGCTTAGGCAGGTGGCTCATCTTCTCTGAGCCCCACTTCCTCCCCAGAGATTGGGATGGGTTAAAGCCTTGAATGCCCGGAGGGCTGTAATGCCAGAGTCCCCCACCCCCCAGCCTCCCCCCCTCAGAGCCTGAATGTGATGATCCCTAATGGCAGGAGTAGGATGGGAGGTGTAAGGGGATAATCACTCATGGCCTCTTGCAATGGTCCCATTTCGGTGACTTGCACTGGGTGAGGTGGGGTGAGGGTCTCTGAGAGTTTAGCTGAGTAGCTGGGGCCCGTGGGGACGAGGGCTTGGTAGGGATGAGAGAGTCTCCTACGGGGTGATCCTCCAGCCCTGGACACCTCCTCCTAGGTTGTCCTTCGGAGGCTACTGACTTCCCCAGCTCTGGTGCCACCATCAGAGGTGCTGTCCACAGCAGCCCCAGAGGAGCAGCTGCAGCGGGCTAGCTGGGTGGCTTTTAGCACGTCCCTTCCCCTTTCGGGACCTCAATTTCCTCCTTTTGTAAAACAAGTGGGTTTGACTAGACAGCAGTGGTTTTCAGACCCCCCCGCACCCCCTCCCCCCCATGAATTCTTTCACAGAACCCCAACTTCTAATATGGATGAAGTGGAACTGCTCTGGCTCCCCTTCCTCACACTGCTGGCTCCGGAAACAGAGTCTAAAAATCCCCAGACGATCTTTGAGGCCCCTTTCTGTGAGGTTCTAGGAAATCTGTATTAACCTTCAAAAGTATTGCCTAGTGTGAGGGTTGGGGGCAGGAACGTGAATCCTGGAGATTCCATTAAGAGAAATGTGGGCATTAAGAGGGGCCTTGTCGTTGAAATGTCTGCAGCTGATGGCCTGTGCCTCTAACCAAAAGTTGCCGCTGTGCCCCTCCCCTCTGCCGTGTGGTTTATCTTTGCAGGCCCAGAAAAGGGCCCGTGCCTCTGGGTCCTAATTTGTGACTGTAGTTACACCTCAGAGTTTCTCCCCATATGTTTCATGTTTCCAAAGTAAAATGCAAATTCATCTTGGGGACAGATGTGAGGGAAGGGCTTTTGCTGTTATCAGCTGTTTTTGCCTGATGAGGTATCATCCTTTATGGGGTGACTGCTGTATACCAGCTACTACAAGGGGACAGAGGTGAGACTGTCTCCACCTCTGCCCTCCTGGGGCTCTAAGACAACAGGCAGGAGTGACCATCAAAACACTACTTAGAAGATTTTACATATGTTATCTCATCTGCCCCAGAAGGTAGATGTTAGACTCACTTTTTAACAATGTAAAACTGTGTACAAAATAAGTATGTACCCTATAAGCCCATGGAACCACCACCTATATCGGGGAGCAGCATTGCCAGCACCCAGAACCCCCCTGTGTTTCCTTCCAGGCACAATCGCTCACCCAGGGACAGCCACGGTGCTGACTTCTAGCACCATAGGGTAGTTTTGCCCAAGTGGAATCGCACAGTATGAAGTCTTTTGTGTCTGGCTTCTTTCAGTGAACATTTTGTTTGTGAGTTTCACCCATGTAGTTGCAGATAGCCATAGTTTATTGTCATTGTTGTTTAATAATTCCATTGTGTTGGGAGAACGGGAAAGGTCTATTTTGGCTGGAATATAGGCTACGTGGTCGGGAGGGCACTAAGGTTGAGAAGGTGAGTTGGGGGCCGAACTGGTGGGCCTTGTTTGCCCTTGGGGCCTCCCTGCCCTCACCCCAGCCATCCAGGATGGGGAGGGCCCAAGGATGGGGCTTAACCTTTTGCTGGGGAGCTGGGGTTGCTTCGAATCCAGCTCAGCTCCTGATAACAAATGTCCCTGGCCTGGTGCCAACGGCAGATCTTAGCTGTTCCTGGGGCCACTCTCAGGGTATCTGCCAATAGAATGTGTTTGGACTTTTCAGCTTCCACCTAGCTGTGTGCAATTAGTGGCCTCACCTCCCTGCTCCCCACCCCCACCCTGCCCCTCGAGGACCTGACCCAAATGGTTTATTTGGAAGGATGTTCTCAGCACAAAGAAGATGGTGTGGGTTGCCACCCTCTGGGCTTGTTCAGGAGACTTGCCAGGATGGGTTGAACTCCTGATTATGGTTGAGCCAAATTTGCCAGAGGATCCCCAGACCTTTCTTGAGAAAGGAACGGAATTGGTTGTCTGAATGGCTGTGGGAAGCAGAAACGAGTCTAAGAATAACAGTAACAATCATCCTCTTTCTTTTTGCCCAGCAGTTTATGCCCCTATCACAATGGGTCCTTACACAGATGTGTGAAGTAGGCGATATCAATGTTATCACCCCTGTGAGTCACATGCTGTGAGTCACATGGCTGACATACAACCAGACAAGCCTAGAATGGGTTCCTGGAGCCTGCTCTTTCCAGTATCCCATCCTCGCTGGGCCCTGGCCGAGCACAGAGTGAAGACATAGCAGGAAGGAGGATGTGTGGTGGACCATGAGCGCCCACAGGCAGGAGGTGACCTGAGAGAGAGGCCTGGGTGCCAGGCCGGGTCGGTCTAGAGGTCTTCAGGGATCTGTGTGCATCCTGGTAACAGAGCTCTAGTTTGCAGGGGACTAGACATGGAGAGAAGAGGGTGAAATGTACACATCGCCTGAGAGTTAGAACAGCTCCAGCCACTTGACATTGATGAGACATGCCTTTACGTAATGGGGCCTCCACCCAGCCTGGTGAAAACAGTCTTTTGGGGTTCGTGGGGCCCGGGCGTGGTTGGTATCTGATTGGCAGGCAGAAGAAAAGCTGCCAACGCTTAGCCTAAATGAGCTCTGAGAGGCCCGTGATAATGACTCTTGAAAGACACATCCACAGGCAGCCGGTGTTATCTTTGTGACTTGCACACTGCGTCCTGGGCCCTGCCCTTGAGGGTGACATGTGGCGTTCCCAGGAACGGGTGAGCTCCTTGGGGCAGGGATCCCAGGGCAAGGTGCAGATGGTCTCTCCTGGTGGAGCGGCGAGCACTCTTATGGCGCAGAGCTGCCTGGCTCTCAGTGCGGTGCCCTGGGCAGCAGAGCTAGCTCCATTCCACAGATGAGGAAACTGAAGCTCCTCAGACAACAGATGAGGTCACAGAGCTAGCTGAGGGCAAAGCGAACTAGAACCTCGGCCTCCCGGCTCCTGGTGCCTGTTGTAATTTGTCACAGCACTCCCGCCCATCTCTCTCTTGGGGTGATGAGTGAGTTTACAATCAGTTCAGACTCGCTTTCAGGTGGCGCAGCCCGGAGAGAGCTGAGGTCATGAAAATTCCTCATGTTTTGACTGCATTTGACAGTTGACAGGGGTCCTCAAACTATGGCCCGCGGGCCACATGCAAATACAAATATTGTATTTGTTCCCGTTTTGTTTTTTTACTTCAAAATAAGGTATGTGCAGTGTGCATAGGAATTTGTTCATAGTTTTTTTTAAACTATAGTCCGGCCCTCCAATGGTCTGAGGGACAGTGAACTGGCCCCCTGTTTAAAAAGTTTGAGGCCCCCTGGTTTACAAGATAATTCCATGATTGGTTTTTACAGTATCAGCCCCTCTTATAGACAGGGAAGCTAAGTCTCCCACAGTTTCAATGACTTATCCAGTCAAAACTGGGACTTGAACCCAGATCTTCTGACTCAAAAACAAGAGCTCTTTCTCCTGCCTCACGGCTGCCTCTTTCCCCAGTAGACCTGAATTTCCTGAGAACAAATCGCTGAAGTTGGCATGGTTCTATTTCTCTGCACTTGTTCAGAGCAGATCTGAATGAGTGAGGACTCTTTTTCTATCTCCCAAGCAAATATGAGTTACTCTAAATCAAATCGGAACCATGCCGCATCGGTCACAAGTGAGGAAAGGCTAGAGCAGGGCAGTTCTTGAGGAATGAGGGCTGTGGATGATTGTGAAATTATCAGCCCCCTTGCGGCTGATTACGTTCAGGCTCAGACTCTTAGGCTTGTGCCAATTGACACATCTGTCCTAATCTCACTTTCAGGGCTGTATGCTCCAGGCCTCAATGAGGAGCCCAAACATGGAGGCCTTCAAGCAGCAGAAGGTGGAGGACTGTTACGACATCGGAGAGGAGCTGGGGAGGTAAGAGGCCGGCAGAGGCGGAGGGGATGCCAGAGGGAGACAAGGATACACTTCTCTTGGTGCACTTGTCAGTGGATCTGGTCACAGAACTCGTGGGAAGCTTTAAAAACAATCCTGAAGTTTATTCATTTAATTTTTATTGAATTTATTGGGGGTGATATTGATTAATAAAAGTAATAACTTTCAGGCGTACAATTTTATAAAACATCATCTGTATATTTTAGTGTGTATTCACCACCCAATGTCTGTGAGGTTTTTTGTTGTTGTTTGTTTGGTTTTTGCTTCACTCCATCACCGTTTTTATTCAGTCCTCCCAATCCCCCTCCCCTCTGACAGCTGTCAGTAATCCGGAGGTTTATTCATCTTTATGGGAGGCTCTGCAAATAAAGATACAGGTAGAAGGGGCTAGAATTGTTGAGCTCTGTGTTTTCAGTATATCCTGGCTGAGTTATGGTGAATCCAAATGATTCTTGGTTTATCTGTTACTGTTCTCACGAAGCCCTCCCCAGACTTTGGACTGAGACCTGACCTGTGGTTTTCTTCTCTGAGTCCCACTTGACATTCTCCACGGCTCCCAGGATTTTGTTTCATAAGCTCAGAGCCTGATTGGGAGGTGAAGTAATCCTCCTGAAAGTGGATTTGCATTGAGTAACAAGCCACAGGAACATAGCCATGAAGGTTCATGGGATCTGAGTTACTGGGTGCCTTTTCAGGTTTGCTAAACACGGAACACAGCCAGAGCTAACCTCTGAGACCTGAAAGTAGTTCCTATTTGGAGAGAAATGAACATTTTTCTGAAGATCTCTTCCTGTTCCATTTCTAACAGCTGCTACTATTTAGATGGTGTTTTAGTGATTATAGAACAGTAGCCCTGAAGTTTCATTCTCACAACAGTGCTTGAGATGGGATATTATATATATATATATGTTTAAAAATAGATTTTTACTGATTTCAGAGAGGAAGGGAGAGGGAGAGAGAGATAGAAACATCAATGATGAGAGAGCATCATTGATCAGCTGCCTCCTACATGTCTCCCACTGGGGATTGAGCCCACAACCCGGGCATGTGTCCTGACTGGGAATTGAACTGTGACCTCCTGGTTTATAGGTCAATGCTCAACCACTGAGCCATGCTGGCCGGAAGAAATGGGAATTGTTTTACTTTCGTTTCTCAGATGAGGAAATTGTGGTCTCAAGCACTTAAGCAAGTTGCCCAAAGTTGTTCAGCTAGCAAGTGACATAACCAGGTCTGGCCAGCTCTGTTTGTAACTGCACACCTATTGTGCTCTCTCCTTTGAGCATGGCACTTGTACACTCCCACGTTCTCACCAGTATAGCCAACCTCAGCCTTTCACACTCCCAGCAAAGTAAAAACCTGTGGGTTTAGGGCCTCCACTGTATCCAGGAGGCAAAGCAGGAGGCCCTTCCTCTTTATAGAGTTCGTGGGTCAGGACTAATTCTTTATTTACTTTAATTTCGAAAGACAAAACTGAGCCAGACTCTGAGGAGAATGGAAGGTGCAGGTGCTTTAAGTTCAGGCGGTGCTTGTCCTGGGTGACTGGATGGCTGGGTGCATGGGAGCAAGTGATGCAGAGTCTCCAGAGGGGGATGACCCATCTGCCTTATTTCAGAGACCAGCTGCCATAGGCAATCCAGGGCCCAGTGAAAGGGTGGGAGGAGGACAGAGGGCCAGAAGCTGAGGGTGGCAGTAGGAGGCTGCCTCTGAAAGAGAGACCAGGCTCTCTGCCCTCCGGTTTCTCATGACCTGGGTGACACCAAGGGTAAAGTGGCTTCCTCAGCAGCAGACCCTGCCAGTGGCATTTGATTCAGTGGCCCAACCTTGGCCACATCCTGTGTGTAGGGGTCTGTGCTAAGTGCTGTGGGTACAAAGACAAGGAGGACACAGTTAGTCTCTACCTTCCTGGAGCTCCAGTGTGTGTGTGTGTGTGTGTGTGTGTGTGTGTGTGTGTGTGTGGTGGGGGCCACACACATAACAAGGGTGGAGTTGGATGGGACTGGCACCAGAGCTGGGAACTGAGGAGGGAGACTGTGAAGAAGGAAATAGAAGCAGCTTCCTAGGGAATCCATCTGTTATTCCTCCCTAGTCCTGTCTTTCCCCCACGCACTATATTGGAGCTATTAGAACGAGAGAGATCTCACGTTTTCTGATCCTTCCCTCTAACAGGGTGTGAAGGCTCCATGTATCTTGCAGCCCGGGGAGCCTTAATGGACCCCACCCACTTTTCTAAAGTGCTAACCAGACGTGGAGTGGGTAAGAGGCAGTAGAGGCCTTTGGAATGGCTTGACATGCTAGGATTTGTGGTCTAGAGGTCAGATGAGCTGGAAGGCCATTAGAAGTCCTCTAACGGGCCCTTCATCTGACAGTGGAGGAGACTGAGGCTCAGAGAGGGAAAGGTCTTGCCTGAGGCCATGGACAGGCTGGAAATAGAACTGCCTCCAGATGACTGCTCAGCTTCTGAAGGGACAGGCCTACCTTTCTCTCCTCCCCTTCTTTTCTTCCCTTAACATATTATTGAGGACCTGCTGTGTACCAGGCACTGCCCAAGGTAGGGGTACACAAACAGGAATATTCCTGTCCTCTTGCTGCTTATGTTCCATTGGTGGACTAAAGCACTAAACAAGTGAATAAGGACACAGATACATCATTTTAGCATGTGTGAAGGGCTATGAAGGAGAGAGCAGGTGCCCTAAGAGAGACTAGCGCAGTGGTTGGCAAACTGCGGCTCGTGAGCCACGTGCGGCTCTTTGGCCCCTTGAGTGTGGCTCTTCCTAAGCCTCAGGAGTACCCTAATTAAGTTAATAACAATATACCTACCTATATAGTTTAAGTTTAAAAAATTTGGCTCTCAAAAGAAATTTCAATCGTTGTACTGTTGATATTTGGCTCTGTTGACTAATGAGTTTGCTGACCACTGGACTAGGGGATGCAGGTTTAGACTGAGGGTCAGGAAAGGCTGCTCTGAGGAAGAGCCTGTTAACTTGAGAACTGAGGGTTTAATAAGCAGGTAGAGGCAACAGCATGGACATAGGCTCAGAGATGGGAAAGGACCTGGGGCCTGAGCTACTGACAGGAGGCCAGTGTGGCCTCAGAACGTGAGCTGGGGGCAAGCGGTGCTTAGATGAGGTTGGAGACATAGGTGGGGCCTGATGCAGCCAGCAAGCTCCCCGTCAACACAGGATGGTGGACAGGCTTGGCCGTAGGGGTCACACAGATTGCAACCTTAGGACAACTTACCCAACCTCTCTGGGCCTCAGTTTTCTTACCTGTGTGATGGAAATAATAACAGCACCGACCTCACAGTTGTGGGGATTAAACGAGATACGGAGTCTATGGTGTTCCTCACAGAGCCGAGCACAGGGTAAGTGTTCAGTGAATAAGAGCTTCTGGCCTTTGAAGTAAATTTGAGGCATCAAGGTCCTGCCTCCCACCTATGGAGCCGCTAGGAGAAAGGGGTGGGCTCTGCAGGAAAACAGCACGTGGAGGGGGCCGTCATTCTTATTTTGGAGAGAGCTGTATGTACACCTGCTTCCTGGGCTATCAGTGAGTACTCTGCCTACACTCAGGGCTTTCTTCTTGTCTATTTTAGCTCCTCATTAAGTCCTTCCTATGCAAAAATGAGAATAAATGACGGTCACTTTTCATTTTTACCTGTGGTGATGGACGAAACTCACATAATGTTGAGTAAAGGAAGCCAGACTCAAAGAGTCCATACTGTATAATTCCATTTGTGTAAAGTTTGAAACAGGCAAAGTGAATCAGATATGCTAGAAGTCAGATGGTGGTTATTTGGGGGACTAGTGACTGGGGCACAAGGGGGACTTGTGGGGCAGAGGGATTGTTCTGTTTCTTGATCTGGGTGCCTGTTTCACTGCTGTGTTCATGTCATGAAAATAGATCAAGCCGTTCATGTTCATGTACATGTACATTTTCCGGTAGGTATGTTATACCTTAGCTTAAACCATGTGTTAACAAGCAAAGCATCTTGACTTCACTTCCTGGCCTTGTCTGGTCCCTGAAGCACATGTTTTTGATTCATTGGAGGCCTTGTTTGTCTTTGTTCTACAAGTAAGAACATCTGTGAGAAACGCTGCAGCATCCAGCTTTGGATGGGGACAGCATGCCCTGGCTGGAGAGTCCTGAGCTCGGCTGGGACCACTCCTGACCCTGCATATCTCACCTGATTTCTGGCTCCCTGTGCTGAGTGCAGACACTTGGCCGCACTCACATTTTGGCAGCAGCCTGCTGGGGATGCTGGAGCGGTTGGAGAAATGCTGGCTTGCAGATTCTGCCTCTACCAGACTTGGTAGCCCCCTAGGGCAGAGCAGGGGTATATTAGAGTAGGGCTTATAAAGAAAAAGCCACTCAATCCCTCATTTTAAAGACAAGGCTAGGATCGGAGAGAGGAAGTGACTTGTCCAAGGTCACACGGTGAGCCAGTGATAGACCATGTGGGGACTGGAGGTCTGACTCCTAGTCTAGGGCTCTGGCCACACCATCAGGACCCACAGAGAGCAAACTCGTTTTTTCCTTTATTTTGAATGCTTCTGGGGCGTGGGGGAGAATATATGGTAGGGTGGTCATTTCTGTTTGACCTTGAAGGTGAAGGGCCAGAGTCAGGAGGTGAACATTTTGGAAGGAGTGATATTTCCCAGACCTAGAGGAAGGGCGCTGGTGGTTAGGACCAGTGTTGAATACTGTTGCACAAGGGCACAAGGTAATTCAATAAAAACAGCATACAATAATGAGTGTTTTCTTCTTCCTCCAGTGGTTTCTTTTACTTAGACGATCAGATTATTTTATTAAATGTTACTGTTGAACTGGATCTCGACAAGAATTTAGTCCAAATTTCCATTTGCTAGACAAGGAAAGTGAGGCCCAGAGAGGGGAGGTGATTTGTCTAAGGCCACAAAGCAAGCAGTATAGGAGGCGGAATTTAAAGAAGCTTTTTAACTATATTGTGCCGGTTTAAACAAACAGAA